ATAAAAAGCCTCCTCTCAAGTCTATTTGGTTCTCTGAACTTGGGTAAACAAATAAATCAAGGCTTGTGCCTAACAATCCAACAGGCCAGGTTATGATCTGTCCCCAGGATAAGGCAGAATTTCTGTCTTGCCTGTTACTGGGTTTTGTTACTATTGTTATTAATAATGCGTGGTGGCTTTTCTGTTTTGTTTTCTTTTTTTTAATGCTAATATGTAAGCTGCCTAAAGTTACCTTCTGATTCAGGCAGCATACAGGTTTATTAAACAAATTAAGATGCTAAATCATAATGTGGGTTGGTTGGTTTGCAGCTTCATATGCTTAGTGAACTCTCCACACCATTTATAAACCAGAGTTTATGGCCAAAACAATTGCATATTTTTATTAGATGATCAGAAGTTTCATTTGCATGTTTGAGAATCTTTGGGTGGACACCATACAGGCCTAATGATCTGTTTATTGTTACTGAAAAAACAAAACACATAATTTCATCTCTCAGCACTCTCTCCTTTCTTCTTAAATCCTTAGCACTGAAGATGGCTGAAAAGAATTCACTGAGCTCTACAATATCTTAGCTTCTTGAACATGCTTTCAGTATTTAAATTGTCAAATATTCCAACTGCTCTGTGGTTAACTTCCTACTTCAAATATGCTGAAAATGCATGATTGATCTCAGATGTCAAATCACTTCAAATTTGAACTATCTTGAACACAAAATGGATTCTTCTAACCTCACTGAAATACCCTCAAAGTTGGAATACTTCTGAAGTCAGAACGATCCATTTCAAGATTGTAACAGTTCTAATTTGAAAAGTTTTACAAATCTCTAGTTTCAATGTACTTTACCAGCATGCTCAAGTTATTTTCCCATATTATCCATTGCTTGCTTACATTTGTTTCCCAAAATTTGTGTTCATTTTTGTGTTCTTCATTTTGGGAAAATTTCTATTTAATGAAGGTTTTACATTTAATAGTTTCTCAACTTTTGTTCATTATCCATCATAGCACCCCCCTGAATTGGTGCCACCTTTGTTTCATGTACATATCAATAACCTAAATTTCCACTTCCACTATTCTGAACATATCTCTCAGGAGCAAAGGAATTTATGGTGCATAATTTCATTTATTTAAAAATGACTTCCAATCAGTTTTTAATTAAGTAGCCCAATCCTAATTTGAAAACTAGGTTCTGTCATACTAAACTGTCTTTTAACCATGGTTTTTTGAATAAATGACAGCTGACTAGATTCACAAACCAAACCAAATTATGGTCTACAAACCACCGGGTCTGGGTCCAAACAGCATGCTTAACCAAAACCAAACAATGGTTCAGTATATTGTGTGAACCAGTCTATAGTGCTCACTAATAGTAGCTAAAGTGGTGGCCTAGAAACCAGGAGGCTGAGAGTTCTAGGCCTCTCTTAGGCCTGAAAGCTGGTTGGGCGGCTTTGGGCCAGTCCCTCTCTCTCAACCCAGACCACCTCATAGGGTGGTTGCTGTGGGGGAAATAGGAGGAGGAGTATCAGGTATGTTTACCACCTTGAGTTGACATATAGATAAAAATCTAATAATAATAATAACCACCTTAAAACCCAGATCACTCTGACCCATCAAAGCCAGCGCAAGCCAGTGCTTTACCACAAGAGGCATTCTCCGCGTCCCTCCTCCAGGACAAGGGAAATGCAGGAGAGGCCCTGCCTGCATAAACCTGGCTTGGGTGCTCCCCTGCTTAATGGAAAACGTTGACCCAGTAGGTTTTTAGCCTGGCAAATTACTTTCTGCTCAGCTACCTCGTTTATTTAATTGATCTGCGGCTTTGCTTGCTACTTTTGTCCTCTTTGGCTTCACTGACACCTTTTCTGGCTCACAAGCAGGATGGATGGACGGATAAATAAATAAATCCCTCCCCGCCCTACGGAATACTCTCCCCCCAGAGGCGAGGCCGGCCCCCACCCTCCCAATTTTTCGATCTGAAGACTTGGCTCTGCCAACTTGCGTGGGGCGAGGAAAGACACAATCAACAATTATTAGCACCTAATTAACATCAGCCTCTTGGAAGCATCATATAGGAAGCTTGTTTTTAGCATATTTTAATTAATACTTATCCATTTTAGTTCATGTTTATTCTGTTTTTACTATAAACCGCCCGGAGTCACTCCGCAGTGAGACGGGCGGCGACAAATTTGAAGTGTAAATAAATAAATAAATTAAATAAATAAATAAACACGAAGAACGCTCAGCGGGCAGGGGCGCCAGCTGATGCTCCACGGACACGTGGGAAGGGCAGCTCCCGGAAGTCATTCATCCCGCGGCTAAGCCTCCTGGGAGTCGTAGTTCCCGCCCTCGAGGACCGGACGCGGCGGGCAAGGCCGCTTCCGCTTTACCGTACGTGTAAGTGGGGGAGATGCAGGCTCTCGAGGCTCGTTGTCTCGCATGCGCCGAGACGCGCCGGGGTCGCCAAGGAACACGGGCTAAAAAGACCGAGCAATGAGA